CTAAATTAGAGTTGTTGAACATGTTTTAGACCAAATCCGTAATTGTTGTTGTTATAACACAGGGTTGCCAAACTAATTAATGAAGTTTGCCGTTGAAATTTCTTATATTATATTTGTAATATGCGATGAAGAGGTTGAATTATAAAAAAAAATCACTCTGCTTGATTTGTTTCCTAATTGGAATCAGTGTTGCTATAAAGTATTATTCTAAAGTTAATTAGAAGGAATTTAGCTCAATGCTTATCAATTTACTACATTTTTTTTCAACTTATTTTCAAAATTGCTACCAACATTGTTCCTACCATCACTTATATGTACTATCGATAATATCGAAAGCGATAATTAGGAATCTTGTTATGTAAACTAAGCTATCACTACGTCGCTTTCTCAAAAATCTTATATTTTAATTCGGATACTTGTCAATATGCATATATTTTGTTACTTAAATTAAGCCAGCACTTTTTCGATTACATAAGAACCATGCACTTTGGGTTCAGATATTCCGTAATTGTTATCAATAATAATTGATAATAATATTGTACAAATATCGTTAAAAAAAACATGTTCTAGCATAAATTAGGCTGCCGCTTTTGGGACTGCATAAGAACCTTCCGTTTTCGTGTTTAGGTGCTCGCGAGTTCGCGTTATCGATACTATTGATATCGACAAAAATATTTTTTATTACGTAAATTAGGCTGCCGCTTTTGAAATTCATAAGCATCTCCCATTTCGTGTTTAGATGCTCACGAGTTCATGTTATCGAAAATATTAATATCACTAAAAACAATTTTTATTACGTTAATTAGGCTGCCACTTTTGCCATTTCATAACAATCCACCATTTTCGGGTTTAGGGTTGAGTTATCGATATAAATATTTTTTATTATTATTACTTATTTTTGTTGTTATTAACATATAATAACGATAATAAAAATATCGATACTTTTTTTTAAAGGTATTTTAATAAAACTTAAATACTGCATTTTCAATTAGTTTTAGTAGTTTATTAACAAGTAACAACTTCGAATATTCTTTCGTACGTTTATTAGGGTAGTCCATTTATCTGCGAAAATTTCTGTGACATTTTTTGCATCTACAACTGTGTATCATATATTTCACCCATTAGTAGACACCACATACTGTCATGCATGAATGTACCCTTAAAGTTTCTCTTGTCCGCTGCACACCTTCAGTTGCAAAAAAGGTCTGCCACACGCCGTCCCTATGTTGTGTTACCAAAACATATACATACCATATATATTTAATATATAGTATATATGTACATACACTCAAATATGCATAAGTACGTGTGCAGCTTTCGGATAGTAAATTAGAATTTGCATCTTTAATACTTGCACCAACAAATATTGTTAAAATGCTTGCACATGTTGCATGCACATACACACTCGAGGTGCACCACAAACTCTTGTAAAGCGCTGCTGTCATCAGCACTTTCAAGTCAATGCGTTTATGTACTCAACTAAATTCTAACACTCAGCAAATTGCGTGCAGTGTTGCATCTGACACTTAAATGTGAAAGCACACACACACACATGCATTTGTAAGTAATGTCGCTGCATATTAGAAATTTCATGGTTTACATAATAATACTATACTCGTACGCACTCGTGTGGCACGCATTCCAGCGAGGGACTGTGAGCAAATCTTAAACGTTTCCCCACCCAGCAGGTCCCTTTGAAAGCCAGCTTATTGGTTGAGTAAATATTGTTATAAATTTATGGACATAATTGGGTGCGGAGTTAACAGACTGTAATTATTTCAGAAATTTGTGGCTTTCAATTAAATTTTATATGTAAATATTAATATTTTAGAGGGTTATAACTTGGTAGTTGCTTGATAACATTTTTCCAAATTATTATTACTTAATAATAAAAGCAGGCGATGACCCACTAAAATAGTTTAATGCTTTGCTAGAAACTTTTCTAAATAAAACTAATCATCATTCTCGATATTGCAACGAAAAATAAGTAAAACTCAAGTGAAATATAATTCGTAACGAAATTTAATGAACAGTCGTGCATGAAAGTAAATTGACATGCAATGCAATTAGTTTTTCTTTTCATTAATTTTTTGCTTTTATTGCCCAAAAATGCAGCGTTGTTGTGCTCGAGCTTGTGGTTTGTGCGGAAAATAGAAAAATGCAATTGGCTGTGACGTGACGGTGCCGATGACAATGGAGGCAAGAAGGTAGCTTTCTCGTAACGCAAAAGAGAAATCGAAATTAAATGCAAAAAATTCGAAAAACGAATTGAGGAACGAAGGCGTATAGAAACAATAAATGAATTAGATGCAAAAAGTAAAGAAAACGCACAGGAAAATGAAATGAAACAAACTAGAAACTGACTGGGTGGAAAATTAATGGGTTTCAACCACCAATGCTAACGGAAAACATTTAGCTCATTTAGTTAGAACTTACATAAAAAAGAACCAAAAACAAATAGAAATATAGCAAGTGAAAACAAATTAATTTAGAGACTTCGGGCATTTTAAGTTGGCGTTGAAATAAATTGATTAAAATGCCACCACACAAGCCGCAATCGACAACACGAAACAACATTTGATTGAGTGGCAAGTACAACGCTTAACAACGCTATCACGCAAACGAAGAGAACGAAAAACAACAAAAAGACACTAAAGTAAAACAAATTCGAAAAAATAGCGAATTTGAAAAACAAAACAAGAAAAAAAAACTATTTTCAACAGCGCACAAAACGAAATCATGAGTAACATACACTTACATACACTAATACACACACATGTACATGTATATGTGTTTATAAAGTTTTTTTTGTAGTATTATTATGTAGAAGGATTAAACGGCTAGAAAATACTGTCATTCATGAGTAGATGACGTTACAGCTATGCGATTCAACAAGTTACATACATAAATATGTTGGTACATATATAAATTCTAAAAGCGCTTGAATATATGCTCAGCATCGGTTTTATGTTTTATTAATTTTGAGCCGCTTGCTATTAATAATACAATTTTTGGTTTTAAAACTTATTTATAAGTCGTATATTTTCGAAAAAGAATTTTTGATCTGAAAAAATATTTCTTTTTGGGTTAGTGAAATTTTAAAATTGATAACTTAAATTGATAAAGTGGACATTGCGAAACAATTCGCAGTTTTACATGGTAAGATTCATTTAATAACTTAAATATATAATTCATAAATTCAGGACTTCTGCAGTTGCTTTTAAAGTCAAGGGTCTTTAAGTATGCTATTTATATAGCTATAGGTATATATCGGCGCTAGTATCTAAAGGAAATTTCAATAAATGAGATTTCGTAAAAGGTTGGTTGCATCAATACGAAATAAGATGTTGGGTGAGTAACTAGTTTGACTTGACATGTACTGACTCCATCTCTCGACTACATACCATATACTTATTTTAAGCTTCCTAGGGTAAATATTTGCGAATAAAACCCTAAGAAATACGGAAAGCGATAATAATTCTCGAATAAATAAAGTTATGTAGGTTAGGTTAGATGCTATGCCTAATATATGATTCTAAGGTACTTGAACTTCTAAACACAGACCTTAGTGAAGCCAGACAACTACTTTAGTTGGATCTCATGTTTCGACAAGACCGGCGTGAACCCATTACACTCTATACCCGCTAGTTCACGTGGATATCTGATGGTATGTGGCTCAAGATCCGTTTAGGCTTGATCTGAACAACAAAATGAGTTCACGGTATGAAATTAGAATTTAATGAGATGGCCAGTTAAGGCAGACCAGGGTGGCATTCTGTTGTTAAAAATTTGGCGGTATAAGCTTTTTGAAATGTCGATTTCAATCTCTGAGGAAAAAATAAAACTTTAGTATGAAATCTTTGAAATAGTATGAGGAAATCAAATGGTAGATAAGCACTACCAGGAGAATATAAAAATGCAACCTAAGCCGAATATTATTTGTTAGTTTTTTGTTTATGAAGAATAAAATTGATATATTTTTGGATACTGTGTTATGATGAACACTTTATTGCTACCTAAATAGATTTTAAAAACCTCAAATTCATATGCTTCAGTGTTAGTTATTAAATATATTACTTAGTTTGACCATAAATTCTGTTACACATCATCGCAGAAATCCCCTTAGAAAACAGAAAATATCGTCAAGGGAAAGCAAAGTCGCTTAACTGGTTACTTTTTGACAGCACGCCCGTAGCTGTTGAAAAAGTTTTTAAGAAGCAAAACGACAAAATCTGCGCAAATACTCCCACAGTCACAACAAATATTATTCCAAGGGTTCAACATTGTGACGTGGCTGCTCTAATGATTTGGTGGGGAGTTTCCTGTAAAGGCGTTACACTTGTTCACTTCTGTTAAAAAGTGGTTAAAATTAGAGCAAACGTGTAGCAGTAGGATGTTCAAGAAGGCACGGTAAAAACTACCCAGCAGTTGCTTAAAAGTATTATGAATGGTTTCATAGCTGCAGATGATTTTCCGTCTAAAGTTCAGATTTAAATCCATTAGCTTACAGTTTGTAGTTATAGTTGCAAAACAGGGCCTGGCCAATACCACACAGAAATTTGGGGAGTCTCCAAAGAATATTTGGTTCGAGCAGCTACGCCAATATCTATGGAAACTGTGCGCGCCTTTATTGATCGATGGCCGAATAGTTTGAAGGCTTGTGTGAAGGCAAAAGGTGAACATTTCGAATAAAATTTTGTACATTGCTCGTTTAATCTATGGATTATTAAATATTATTAACTTTATTAATAAATGAATTATAGTTACTTTTTATTACTTCCTGAACTTGTAACAGAACTTATGGCAGGCCTAATTTATATACAAACATTAGCTACGGGTTCCTATGCATATGAAAATCCGATACTGAGCCTCTCGCAGCGCTTAGTTACCAAAGAGATTAAAGAAAAAACTAATGTTTCAAAACAACTTTGTGAGAACGAAATGCAAGTAATGTAGACACTGGCTCTTGGCAATTCATTTGTGTGGTTGATAGGTAGTACCTGTTCCGATATTGGCGCGTCCATTGTAACGGTAATTGTTATTCAAACCATTATTCTTGTATGGCAACGTTGCAGCGCCGCTAACAGCACCGCTACCTGTGCTAGTTGAAACACCCACACCACCAACGCCAACACTAACACCAATACCAACACCAGCACCGCCCAACATGTGACCACCGCTGCCTGTACTCGCATCGCGTAACGTATTGCCGCGCATGCTGTTGTTGTTGCAATTGTTGTTATTGCTTAGTAGAAGGCTATTGTTATTAACGGCGCCATTCACTGGCCCACCAACACCGGTGGCATGTGCATGTGTGTGATAATCGACGGTGATGCCGTTCGGATGCGGCACACCACTGCCACCGCCATTCATCATGGCGCCACTTGGACGCATATATTGGTGGTAGGCACTGCCGTTCATATCGCCAGCATTGCCAACGTAATGTTGCTGATGGCTGTTTGCCGGCATTGTGGCATTTTGTTGCGCAGTCTTGCTGCCACCAACGCCACCACCACCAACACCGTTTACCATTTGATTACCAATGCCATTCATCATGCCATAATGTTGCTGAAACTGTTGCTGTGGCATTTGTTGTTGTTGCTGCTGTTGCTGCTGGTGGTGGTAGTGGTGTTTCGGTGCATGCCGCTGGTGCTGGTGTGCGACAGTGTGCGTGTGATGTGCGGCATGCTGATGTTGTTGTTGCTGGTGATGACGTGTTACCGCTGCACCAGGCTGGGAGGCCAAGCTCGATAACGACGACGAGGAAGCCGGCTGTGAGGTAGCCGATGATGAGGCCGAGGAACTTGTTGACTGTGTGGCCAACGGCGGTGATATATTGCCAGCGTAATTGCTGCTGCTGTTGCTGCTGCCGCCGCTCATTGCGTGATTGTGCAGCTGTTGTTGCTGCTGCTGTTGTTGTTGTTGTTCGCCGTAGTATGCTGTGTGTTGGTGTTGTTGTTGCTGCTGATGTTGTTGTTGTTGCTGTTGCAATGAAGCATAATGATGGCTGTAATTGTGCTGTTGTGACAGCTGTTGCTGTTGTTGCGGCTGGTTAGGCGGTGATGTCATTTGTTGTTGCTGATAGTAATGCTGATGCGATGTTTGTGCTTGTTGTTGCTGCTGTTGCATATTCGATGTCGTCGATGTCGCCGTGGGCATATGATTTTGATGAGAATTGTTGGGCAGGAATTGTGGATAGACATGGTGCGACCACTGGGGAAAGAGCGGGCGACCTGAGGGTTCTAATTACCATGGTAGTAAGGTGGGGACGGCAAGGGAACGACGAGGGTGCGTAATTTATATGCGCAAACAAAAACATATGCCGCAATGTCAAACAAATATATATTTTTTTAATTTTAGAAAATAGTAATTAAAAGAAAATATTGGAGATTTTTGGTTAACGGTAGTTTTATAGTCGACGGTGAACAATTAAGTTAGATTTTGACGAGCGTTGAACGAAGTAATCAGTAATGATAGTTGTAATGGTAATGGTAATGGTAATGTTGATATTTGTAATGATAAATGTAATTATGTTATTTTAATGGAAGTGACGTTTTGTCAAAGTTATGTTAGTGGTAATAATTTCAATATTTGAGAAAAATGTATTGATATTGTCCAGAGTAATGATTACAGTTATAATTTTAGTTGTTGTAATGTATCGTAATAATAATGACAATAAGTTTTTAAAACAAAATGTGTTTATAATGGTATGAAAAAAATATTAATATTTTTTTGGTTAATTGTATATAATTGGGAGTGTAATTGGTTGTAATCAAAGTAATGGTAATGGTTTTAATAATGCGTATGGCAATTGTTGAGGTAAGTGAAATTTGATAATATGGCAATGATAACAGTAATGAATATGGTAACGATATAATAATAGCGATATTATTTTAAAAATTACACAGTAATGGTGAAGTTATAAGATCAAATTGCAGTATTTGACAGAAATTGAACAGAAGTTGTAGTCAGTTTGTACAAAATTCGTATTTTTAGTAATGTTTGGGTGTGGAAATAATTTAATTAGATTAAATACACATAAATTGGCGTGAATACAATAACAAACGGACACAATTTACAATATTTGTGAAATGGACAGACAAATGTGATACATAATGAAAATAATAACGACCACAGTACAATAAAATTTTTTTTTTTAAGTTTATATGCATATAATGTTACATACACATTTATTAAAAAAAGTGGATTTTACGAATAAAATTTCATAAAATCGATCAAATGGACATCACATGTTAAATTATTTTTATTTATTTTTGGTATTATTTGAGATGCGGTGGCACATTATTCAAATTAATTTCGAAAATAATTGCACCAAATATTGCATTGTTATTATTTGAATGCATCGTTTGTTTTAAAATTACAAAAATCCGAACAAAGCAGCGTGAAATAAAGTACAAAGAAAAAGAGAAATAGAGAAAAAACATTTGGGATATAACGATTAGCAATACTGGCTGTCAAATATTGAAATCAATATGGAACGCTTGAATGAAAAAAGTTCAAACAAAATTTTATAAAATTATACAAAGAAATTTTAACAAAACTAACAAGGAAATAAAAAAAAAATATATTAAATTGAAACTAATTGAGTATAAAATTATACAATTTCTGGCACGAGCTTTGTAAATGGAAACATCGATCAGCTCGAGTGGTTAACAAAAGGTTTCGGTCAATACAAGTAGAAACTAAAATTGACGACCAATACATTGAAGAGGGTAACACTTTTTAGAAACTGATTAAAATGCTTACGATAAAAATTATGGTAAATTAAATAGAACTAAAAATAAATAATTTTAAAAAATCTAACCTAAAAATATAATAAATAAATACTATGTTTAAATATATGTTTTAAATAACGATGTTAACTAATTTATGTACATTAAATGAAATGAACTAACTCACAACTTAAAATACGTTCTATAGCTACCCCCTCGAAATAAAATCGTAAATAAGGTTTCGAAATCGTGTGTGTAGCTGTTGCTTTTGATTAGTAGAAAAAAATCACTACCAACAATTTTTACTTTTCTCTTTTTTGTTTTTGTTTTGTTTGTTAGTTGGAACAATCGAGTTACGAAAACTTTCAATTCAGCACAATAAATAATTCATTTAAGGTAATTAAAATAAACTATGTTCATAAAATGTGATTGAAATTTTGGTGCATTCGTATAAGAAAGTAAATGAACAAAACAAACTCAAACAAAACGAACAAACCGCAAAGTGAAAGTGAACGAAAGTAATGAAATAACTGTAAAAATTAAAGTAGTACAAAGCAGTCATAAACAAATTAGTTGGCAACACTTACCGGCTGTGGTACGTTGCATCACTGGCGATTGCCGTTGTATTTGCGGTTCCGCTGGCGGTTCGAGTATATCACGATACTTGGATACCATTAGCACGGAAATGAAATAGACGATGGCGAGTGAGAGGAACTGAGCTTGCTTCGTTTCCTCCTGGAAAAATTTTTTTGTTAAAAATTAAATTATTTATACCAATAAGGGGAGATATAATAACGTTTGTTTTGATTTTATTGCGACATTGCAAAAATAAATTCGTTTTTTCAAAAGTTTGAATTTCAAACTTCGAAGAGGTGGCAACTTTACACCAAATATGCTACCGATCCAAATATTTTAAAATCGTTTTTGTTTGGTCCCTACATAGTAATATCGAATATAATCTATGAATTTAATTGCACAAAATACTTAAAACAAGTGGCAACTTCTTAAATTTATTTCACTTGAAGGATTTCTTAAAGATCTATAGTTTTATACGCAAAGTGTAATAACTCGCTTATATTATTACTTTAATTTAGCTAAGAAAATTTAAATAGGTGGCAACCCTTCTTAAGTACATATACTTCTAACAGTTTGATACTCATATAGTAATATCTTACGCAGTCTAGAATTTAATTAAACAAAATCAAATTGGTGGCAACCTTTATCAAAAAATATTTTTAAGCTTTCTTAAAGCTCCTTAGATTAATATCCATATTGTAGCAAGTTTTTTCTCTAATAACTTTGGTTTAGCTAAATTTTTCTAAAATTTCAAAAGGTTTCCAGCTACTGTGTTTTCAAAAACAAATCAAAAAGAATAGCTCTCAAAAATCCATTGCCTTTCCAACGTTACAAACACCTTTGCCTTTTTCAAAGAAATGATGTGCACCTTCAGGACTTTTCTGAGGTTACAAAGCGGGGTCTTCAATCTCCAGTCGAAACAGTCCTCACGTGAGCATAGTAAGCCTTGTTTGATGACTATTTCCTGTTTTACTGTGAGGTTTCTGGTCTAGAGTAGAACGCAGGAGATTTACTGCACTACTTACTCTCAGAAAGATATAACTTGCTACAATTGAGAAGTGAGCAGGCTGCCTACCACTAGCTGTCTCTAGCTATCTAAGTGGCTTTATTCGTATCCTCACGAAAAATCAATATATTTACCGAAAGTAACCTAACCTAAGGTATAACAATGGATCGGCGATGTAAGCTTTCCAAGTGAGATCTAGACCTTCCAACCCAATCTAATTGTTACTATACGAGTATAATATTTAATGATATGATATTATATTTTCAATAGCAAACTGAATATTTTCTGTCATTTGTCACAGTTTTCTAATTTACTTAGTTTAAATCATCAAAAAATCCAATACGTTTTAATAATATAAAAAATTCAAAATCATCTCTTGCTTACCACATCACGATAGATAACGGCACGCAAGCGATTAACATCCATATCCTGCAGCAGCTTCTCAGGATCCTTGACTGGGGATAATTGACCTGTTATTGACTCAACAATATTCTGAAAATAAAAACAAAGCCATCAAATAAAGCGAGAATGACACAAGCGAACAATGCAGGGGCAAAATGCCAAACGGCAAGTCATTGAGAAAAGGAAGGATCTGTGAAGAGCTTAACTGCAGCAGCAGTAGCGGTAGCGGCAGAGATGGTAGCCGCAGAGGCAGCTGCAATAGCATTTGACAGCAGTCATTGACAGGCTCGTTGCAGCGAACAAGGACTAAGACATTGGGCTAGTACAGCACATATATGTATACAGTAGTTATATGTACACGCGGTTATGTGCAGGCTTAGATATGTATACATATATGTATGTAGATATCTATATATGTATATGAATTTGTAATAGCGTAGTGCTCATATAAACGACTGTGATAGTGAGTAAACCACAACGTAGTGCATCATAAGTGCGCCACTTGAAGGCCATAAAGCCAAGACAAGGATTGCTGTGAGACCGATGGCTGACGTTGTGAACACACACTCATATATACCAAACATACATATCATGTAGTGACGACTCCAGCTGCCGCCAATAGTGTAGGTTATGTCGCTTCTACGCTGCTTCTTCCTTTTATGACGCATATGTAGTGGTGTATGGTGGTATTTGTCATTTTACAGTTATTTATGGAATATTCATTTACGTTTGAGAGTTAAGGGAAATTCTTTCACTCACCTTTGGCGACGCTTGTGCGCCACGTATGAGCGCCTGCAGATGCGCTGCACCGGGTACATCGCGCGCCATTGCGCCCATATTGTAGCGCGTACGCTCCTTACACTCCAAGCAATTGCGCACGGCACATGTGCACACCAGACGCAAACATTGACGCAATATGCCGCCGCTGGACATGTTCTTCTCCGCCTCCAATTCGCCGAAGTTCAATGAAGTGGCGAAGATTAGCACGTCCGCCATGTTGACGAGACGCTGCAGAAAGGAGACGGCCACCTCGAGCGGCATGCCCTGTGTGGGCTCCAGCACATCCAATTCGGACTGGAAAGAAATTTAAGGTTACTATTAAATTTAAATTTCAAAAGAAAGTTTGCACGAAATCAACTATAAAAGCAAGCAACTCAAATATTTGTTTCATCGTGCTTTAATGTTATGTTCTCGACCTTCACACTCACATTGGGCGATGTGGCACTTGCCAGGAGTGGCAACAGACCGCCACAAGCAATGATCAAATTATCCGCTAACTGCGATATCAAATGCACCGTATTCACCACGAATATAGCATTTTCGCTTGAATTTACAAAATCCAAAACACTTTTAGTCGAGTGGCTGCGCCACACTTGTATGTCCGTCTCGAGGGAGAAGAGCACATCGGAGAGCAGGCGCTGGTGTATGTAGGACCATTTGAATTCCGGTATGCGAAATGGTGGACGTGTTGGTCCAGGACTGAACATTGGACGTGTTGAGCCAGATTTTGTACGTTGTTGCTGCTGCTGCTGCGCTTGTTGTTGCTGGTGTGGATGTTTGTTGTCTGTGGGATGAATAAAAGAGTAGTTCATATAGAGAATACTCTGACTCTAGAAAATGCTTAGAACAAGTTTTATGGCGTTGAATTAAGTGATTGTCTAAGAAAATCTGGAAAAAATTGGTTAGTATTACTCTCTGAAAGCTTGTTAATGCTATTGCCGAGTAAATTTAGGCTGTAAAAGTCCTAAATTCAACATTTCTATTTAGAGTAGAGCCGACTTTCTAAGCAAAGAAGAGTGAAATTCAGTTCTTCAGATTTTTAGATACTAAAAAAATTCAATAAAAAAAAAACGCGGAAACTTTGTCGACCAATATTTGGAAATGTCTTTCTCATTTACACTTCAAGAGCCTCTCATGTAAGCGTTAACCACAGAATAGTGTGTCAAAATTTCGACAGCAGAGAGGAAACTTATTTAAATTAGATGATAATTCACTAAGGACTAGACCAATTGGTTTCATAAACACTAAAAAAATTTACATTCAATAAACTTTCTCAAATTATATTAAAAATTTTGCGTTTTTGTTAATAAAGAAGTGGCAATGAGGTTTCAATCGTTTTAATAAGAAGACTCGAACATTTCCTTTGTCGGAGTTATTCGAAAATGAGAGACCAGCGAAAGAGAGTAAATCCCATTAAAGTCAAGTTACCTATCTACGCTACAGCTTAATTCATTCAGCAATTGCTAGCTCAAGTCATAAGACTTCCACACTTTTTGTTGCAAATCATTTCTCAATTTTAATATGACAAACCAAGCTTTCGTTTAATCTCCCTCGTCTCTCCAATACATACGCGCTCAAGTCGCCCAATTGCTAAACTCAATGACAGCTGTAATCAAGGCAGACGGAGATGCAGACCAAGTCATGAGAGATACCAAAATGTTTGAGAGGAAGAAATAACAACGCAGTATAAAAAAAGTAACATGAACAGCTGCTGCTGTCATGCAACCCCTGACACTTATTTGTCTGCATGAGTGCCGTTAAATTCCAGATAAGTTTATGTGCGTGCCATTTAATTTTGTGGAAATCATTTACCGCCCTGAATGTCCGTTCGTGCGCTTCAGGCATGAGTGGAGCGCGTGCTAGTGACTCAGATTTTATTACATTGCAATTGGGGCGAGCGTCAAATTGACAGCTCGGATTTATCTAATTTCTAAGCAAGTTGCGAAAGATTTAGTGGCATTCACCCCAACTCCCTCACTGTGCCTTTTGATTATCGCTTAGACTTAAATACATTTCTTTTATACATATTTTTTTGTGCATACCCGACCATTTTCTTCACTTTATTTTGCTCTTATAAGAGAAGACAAACCTCAAAAATGACTGGGGGTGTGGGTGGTTGGCACTTACCGAAATGATTATTCTCTACTTGTGTGCTGGCAGTCGTGTGTTTTGTTTGCCGTTCATCCACTTGTGCCATATCGTCTTGCAATTCTTCATGTGTGGTATGTAACTCTTCTTCGGTCTGTTCGGGCAGCTCTTCCACTGTTTCGATATCCAAATGGTCAACGGCACCATCGTTGGGCTCGTTCTTTGGTGTGGTTTGTGTAGTGGAGTCGACTTCTTTTACTACTGGAAGTGGTATGGCCGCTAATGGTTTGTCCGCTGGCACTTCCACTGCTGCCGGTAATGCAAGTGGATCTGCCGTTTCCGCTTTCAACTCATCTGTGGACACTAAAGCTACCACTGCGGGCTCAACTGTTTCCTCTACTGCCTTTACTGTCTGCTCCAACAAATCATTCACCACTGTTTGCACAATGTCTCTGACATTTTCTTTTGTCGCTTCTTTTTGTGGTTCACTAGCTTCTTCACTATGTGTGTCTAACTGCGCCGCCGTTATCACCGTATCAGCTTTGTCTAATGCGTTTGTGAGCACATCTTCCACAATTTCTTTGGCAGCCTCCGAGACAGCTGCTTCACTAACATCATTCTTCACTTCTTCTCCAATCTCATTGTTGTTGGTCTCTTTGCGCGCCTCATCTTCGGCAACACTCGCATCAACCACTTTGTCTATCAATTTATCGACTATGTCCTTTACTATTGTCTCGACAATGATGTTTTCATTGTCCACCACAGATGACTCGGTTAGCCCGAGTAAATTTTCTTCGGTCATGGATGCGCTGGACACCGTTGTTTCGGGACTAAGTGATGAGATCTCCTCTGTAGTCTCTACTGTGGTCGAAAGCGAAGAACTTACATCCATTAGTTCGTGTTCATGCTCTTTGGCAACAACGATTGCTAACTTCGAGGTTTTGTGCTCGACGTTGCTGGGCTCGGCAGTATTTGTGTTGTTGTTATTTATGGTATTTTCATCGGTTTTGTTGTCTTCAGTCTTTTGTTGCGTCTCAATAACGTCAGACGCTTGGGTGAGTAAATCCGTTACGGCATTGTTTGCATTTTCGTTGGTCTCATTGTTCGCATTTGTTTCATTGATATCGGCCGTATTGTAATTGTTGCTATTTGTTGTAGTTTTGAGCTCGTCAGCATTGTTGTTCAGCAAGTTCTTTGTGTTCAACAAAGACACATTTTCCGCATCGGTTTGCTGTGTTACTGTATGACTTTGCTCTGTGGACGGTTCTTTTGTCGCTTGCTTCTTCTCATTTTTGAGCACACCTTGCACTACCTCATTGACTGCTAATTCAATTTCTTCATCCTTCAAAACGGAGGATGCTTCTTGCATTTCATCGGCTACGATTTTGCAGTTTTGTAGCGCCTTTTCAGAGTTTTGTAGCACTTGTTGTACGAGTTCGTCATCGGCAGTTGCACCGGCCGCTATCTTGGCGGTGGTCAGCTCGATTTCTTCGAGATCCTCTGCCTTGAGGTTAAGTGTTTGGGACAATGCTTCTGGACCGCCGCTAGTGGTTGACTTCGCGGGTGTACTACTTGCGCTTGCGCCCGTCGATGAGCAGGAGGCGCTACCGTTGCAGGTCACTGCGACTGCCGGTGACTCAACTATACTGGTGACTATCACTTCCGATTTAATGTGTTCATTGTAAACATCGGATATGTTGGAAATTTTTGATTTAGTCAAGTCTTCGCTTGGCATAGTCTCTTTCGTCAATTCTTCGTCGGCCGCTTTTTCGTCTGACGCGCAGCCACAGTTCGCGGGCTCATTGACATCGGCTGTTGCGTTCAACTCCTGTGCGGTTGACTCAATATCTTCGCTCTCTTCTACTTCCTCCTCTACGGGTGGCACATCTTCGAGTGAACCCACCGATTCTTCATCTTTAACTGGCACCTCTTGTATTGTAGCCGCTGGCAGCGCTGCGTGTCGTTGCTGCTGATGATGCATATGAGTATGCTCCAGCTGCTGTTGCTGTTGGTGTTGGTGATGCTGATGATGTTGCTGCTGCTGTTGCTCTTCACGTTCCCAACCACTGATCGTGCTGATGGGACGCGCTTGTCGCAATGCCGGATCGGTTATGTTGTCTGTGCGTTGTCGTTCATAGTGTTCGTACATTTGCGCGAACTGCAGTTTGAATTCTTCGTATGAGACCTTCGAGTGTACAATAGCCAGTGTATCGACCCACACACGCCAACCGCCGTACTCATGCTTGATCGCATGATGCAACAACATACGGAAAAGTGAGTATACCATATCGGAGATTTTCTGCTCTTCGGTATTCTTCGGATGTATATAGGCCATAGCTATGAGCCATTCCTGCCACACGGACATCTGAAGTACAGTGCGTCGGTTTTCGCGATTGCTATTGCACAGCAGTGTCATGTCGGAGAGGAAGAGCTTCTTTACTTCGATTAACGATTCGGTTTGTTTGGATTGACGTATAAGCGTAGCGACGACCTTAAGGATCACTGAAAGACAGAGTGATAGAGAAAAAATTAGTTATAGTCATATTGATAGAAATTCATGGATTTAGTCGCTTGAGGAAAAGTTATAAAAATAACATTCTCAAAGCTTTTAGTAAATACATTTTATTTGCGAATTTAGCGGATCCTAAAAAAATCTGTTCCAAATTATAAAGCAAGCAATCGGTCAGGGTTTTATCTGTTGAGCCACCGAGTAGCAAATGATAACCATTTTGAACCTTAGAAGGTAGGCTTAGATAAATTCTTCGGATAATCTGGAAGCCGTAAAGTGGATTCTTTATGTATCAACATTTTTTTTGGTCTCAAACCATTTAAAAAAAAACATATTGACTATGATGGAGATGGTACCCGATCGCATAGTATAATATAAGGGAGCTTGAATCAGGTATGGTACTTCTTTGTTTCTTAACAAAATAACTTTTTTCTGAAGTTCCGAGGAGTTTCTCTTTTTAATATTACTTATGAGCCAATTTGTTGCACCTTGTGCCATCTTGCTTAAAAGTAACACGATCAGCTTGGTTTAGTCTACTAAAGTGATTTTTGAGTTGCTCTTGGAATTCACTTAGAAGCAAACAGTCTTCTTGTTTTCATTGAAATCGAATATAAGTTTTTATAAGATACCTTTCCACGATTGAGAATTATAACTGTTTTAGGTCCAGTTCTTATAAGTTTTCGCTACTTTTTTCTTCTTTGATAAAACTAGTAAATCCGCCACCTATTGTATTTTCAGTGGTGTTTTCGCTGATTTACAAACCCTACACAAAAAAAAAGATACATAAAACATACTTATATATATATATCTCCTTGTGCACCTTGGAATTGCATGTCTCCAGAACGCTTCCTATGTTATTCCACCTAACTATGAGAGTAAAGTTTCATGTACCATAATATCATATCCCATAGTTAATGTCTCCTTTATATATGTTCATTTCGAAACTATTCTTAACTATACGACACTTTATTTTCCATGGAGTTTTATTTGTCAGGTTACAGCTGATATTTGGGCAATCCTCAATCAATAGCATAGCAAAGTCATCAATGGTCGGAACTAATGCTAATATGTTCACATCAACATTTCTCTCGCACTGTAGCCCGCTTGCTCTCTTCCAACTTTCTTCAGTCAACCCATATTTAATCTCGCTAAAATGTTCACCGATTTATTGCAGCTTAACTGTAATAATATCCCTCTTTATTTTCATTTATGCGCATATATACTTATATGAGCATAATTCTGTTTTGCCGTCGTTCGTTACATAGTCCTTTATGTCCTGCAACATTCATTTCGCTAATCCTAAATAAAGGTTTTAGTGCACTATTTTTTACTTATGAAAGTTTTATTCAGTTTGCTACATATGTGGGACTTGTAATTTTGTACAAGTATATACGTATAATATTCCCTGTAGGACTCACCAGAATTTTCGAACTAAAACGAGACGACAGCATTACCACTAAGATAACTTGAAGTTTTAGATTACTCTCGTTAGTTTTGCTTCACTGAGGGGCAGGTCAAAGTTTATATTTATATTTTCAGAAGAGAAATTCTTTCTAATTATTATGCGACGTTTCAGCAAATAATAGCGCCACCTATATGTTGTATTTCGAATATTGAAATCATTATCTATAAATTGTATACTATTTGGTTTTTTTATTAAACCATTTTATTTATGTCGAAGAACTTGCATTATATTCGGGATAATGCTCTTCTAGCTACCTATTTATGAAAAACAAAAATAAATATAAAAAAATGTATAGTTCAAAATAGTCCGAAATGTATCGTTTTGCTTTACTAAAAATTTTAAAAATGTTATGAACATTTCTTGAGAACTGACAGGAGCGCAGATCAAAATTCGAGTCAAGACGAAGTATAGAAAGAAAAGCACTTATATAAATGATTTCAGATTTCTAAAAAGTTAGCTTGCATATTCAAGAACATGATGGAACAGTTTTAGGTGCATATACCATATTAACTATGTTTAAGACAAGCCTATTCTTACTACCTAAAAATATATTCAAGGTAAATTAAATTTAAGAGTTCGTATCAATAAGATTAGAACCAGTCTTGTGCTGGCTGGCTATCAGAGAATCGGAGCTACAAGTAAATTTTCTTACATGGCTTTCTACTCTTTCAATTCTCCATTATATACGAATTTTTATATATAAGTATGTACATTTCCATATAATAATAATATTTTATATACGTACTTGGATTCTCCAAACGATAGTGACTTTCCGGCTCTGGATGTCTGGTATATAGAATTTGTTGTGAAATATGTTCGGTCATAATTTCGTAGAGGACATTATAAGTTGGCAGGGAAAGCGACTCCTCGTAGAGTAATAAACGTTCCGCTAATAGTGTGTATAAGTTGTGCGGCGACATAACGTCATATTTTCGTCTATTATTGGCAGCAACAGCAGATGGCGTACGTTAGTGACAGCAGTCGATGAAATGAAGACAAAGTTTGTTGCCACACCGAGATGCGAAATAGAAACGTAGAAAGAAAGAAAAGTTATGTTTGAGAAGGTAAATAAGTCATTTAATAAATTGCACTGCAAAGTAATATTTTATGTGCCCTCAGCCAGATGGCAGGTTGGGAAAGCGAAGCACAGTGTATATGTGAGAAGAAAGTGGATTCTGCGTATATTAGGGGTGTTCTATTGCAGTTTTTTTCCAAACAAAATTACTTTTAAATTTTTTTTCCTCTCAGAAGCTAATAGTGATGCGGTAAACGAAGTTTGAAGGCATTTTTTTTTAATAAGAGACGCTTGTTTAAAATTTTTATTTTTTGATGATAATATAAATAATTTTTTTTCTCTAATTTATTACATATAATTTCTTTATTAAATGTAATACAAATGTTTAATATTTTATATTTACAAAGTATTTTTTACAAAAATACAAAATGCATAATTTAGAACACCCTTAATGTACTATGTGAGGGTCGATTCGCGCATTTACTTACTTGTGTGTGCTGCGCGATAAAAAGAATCCAAGCAATTTCAATGCTTGTAAGCGTATCAATTGACTTTCAGCAGCCAATAATTTGAAAATGCTACGAACGCCATGTTTCACATCGAAAGCAGGTACCATGGAGCTGGGATGCTCGGACATAAGCGAAATTAACATTTGCAGAACGTCATGAAGATTCTCATCCTGCGAATGGAGAAGAAGAAAGCAAAATAGATAGTTTATTAATGATATTGAAGTTTTTGTTGTAAATGTGGGGTTTGGGGTGCTCCGAATTCGACCTACCTCATGCATGGTCGTCAAATAGTTCAAAATGCTTTGCAATTCATCCTCTTTGACGCCATTGCCGATCATAATCAATTGTTTTAAAAACAATAAAATATAAGCGCGTATCGCTAGTATATCCTTTTGTGCTGGACGTGGACCATCTGGTGAAAAATACAAAATATAAACGTTTTTTTTTTGATATTTGCATTAAAATTGAGGAAATAGTTTGGCGACTGTACAAGAATTTTGCGTTCAAATATGTATATAAATTTCATGACGTTCTTTCTAGTGACCCAAATTTATATATAGTTCATAGATCTAAACTTTAAATTGATTTAAGCACAAAACATAAGGAATGCTTAGACTTGGATTACTCTATATATACTCTATATATATTATTCTGTTAGCGTCAATTCGTCATTTGAGAAATGTGATATGTTATCGAAGAACGGAATCTATGCTCAAAAACTTAAGGCAAAAACCCGTGGTGACAATCTCACAAAGATATATTGTGAGAACTACCTTGGACGTTGATAAAATCTCGAAATACTCTCGAAGAATTTTTGGAATCTGAAAACATCTTCAACCAATAACTGGGCTGTGATAAAATAAGACTAAGTACTCAGATTTAAATTGACAATAGGAATTTTCTAAAATATTGGGTAAGGTCTTCAATGAACTTTTTTATACTGATAAAATTTCAGATCAATAAATGGATCTCGTTAGGCTGAGTTATTAAACATAAATAATATAAGAATCGTTTGCACAAAAGTCGAGACTAAGTAAATAATGTATGTAGATTTATAACCGCCAAAAGATCCAGATTTTTATTTAGATTTATATCCGGCTCAAATAAATTCGGATAAATTTTTTTGGCGCTATAACAACAATGATATGAAAAAAAGCAGAAGAAGGACGCTCAATCTTTTGATGTCACACAAGTCGATTTTTGAGCGTAAAGGGTATGACTGTGTAGTGGGATGGCTTATAACTAGAATATTTCAAGGTTCACCTTGATATCTTCTTTCTTAATTTAATACACTATTAATATTTTTTTTGTCCTCAAAATATCTGCACCTAATGAGAATTAAAGTAAATATTAGATATTAAAAGTGACTGCTGACGCATGACAATTGACCAATTTTTGACATAAATCATGAATATTACGCTGACTACTGACAAATGATAAGTTGCTAACTTAAGGTTGAGGAGGATTCTCTATTCTCCACACGAAATTGGTTTAGGTTGTTGTAGTTTATTTAACCATAACATTTCAAACAGCTGAATATGAAGCATTGATTTGTGACTGGTGACTAATGACAAATATATAACAAAGCAATTATAGGAGCTTCTTCTTCGTCTTTGTATGCAGAATTAAATTTTTCACATTTTTCTTCACACAACTCATATTTCTACTCCTCTTCTCCACCACACTTCACACTCACCCAATCCCTTTGGTATGATGCCACTCTTCGTACGCGGATTCACAACCCAATAGTAGTATTTAAGTGTGTGCACTGTCTGCAGTACGGTGCTAACACGTCGCACATTGCTGTAGATTTGCGTATCGCTGAGGAATTCCGTTGCCAAGTAGGAGTACAAGCGCGCCTGCACATTGGCTGGCGTGTAGATCCACAGCGCCGGATTGAAGAGCACATGATCGAGCAGCTGCCACGTCAGAAACGAGAAACAGAACAACTGCAACACATCGAGAGAGGGCAAATTGCAATACCGTTAGTAACAAATACAACTACCAAACTGAAGCTCAATAATGAAAACACTCAAACGGTGTATGCTCCAAACAATACAAATACATTTTCAATATATAATAGTTGTATGAATATAATTAATTTATACAAAAGTTATTACAAAATTGAGTTATACATACATGTAAAGGATGTTTTGTTATTGGTTTGGTTGTTGTTTATATTATTTGTTTGATGCACAAAACAACGAACGAACGCAACGACATTACGAGTAGATAGTATATTTAACATTTTTGTTTTTGTTATTATATTTTGTTTTGGTACATATTGGTTGGGAAACGAAAAATCACAAGGCAGGGTAACGTAACGCAAACGGCATTCCAGAATTTTTTTTTTTTATATTTTCAATTTAAATATAAATCGTTTTCAACGCATGCAGCAAACAGCATTCAAAAATGAAAATTCATTTTAAGTTATGAAAAAGAAAAATATAAAAAAATATTTATGTAAATATATCGTTTGATGTATGATTATTGTTACAATGTTCACTAAAATTTGACTTATTGAGTTGAAATGGTATACAATGAAGTCATATTGAGCATAATTATGAGTTTTTTTTTAATTAATTATATGCTATATAAATGTATTTTGATGATATAATGATATATATTGAAAATAATAAATTTCCAAGTTTTTTTGCTAACTTTTCGTAACGCTTAGCATCTACAATCAAATAATTAAATAATCTATAATTATTTACATATACATGTATATATATATAAATATATATAAGTTCTAAGTGTAGGCGGACTAGACCGATATATAATATACAAGTATTTGGTATAATTTTCGCAGCAGTAAGGCAAATAAAACAACTACAGTATTTCATATTTATTTGCAGTTCTAAAATTCGCATATTATTTTACTTTTATTAGGCGTCATAAATTAATTGACACTTGATTTGCTGAGTATTTCATTCAATTATAGGTAATTAATTACCTCTTAATACACAGCCTAATCACATGTATGCATTTAAGCACTTCTCTTAATCCCTTTCATTCAAATTATAGTTTTTACTTTATTATGCCTCAAAGAAAACAAAAAATGCCAAAATTTGTTGCATGAAAATAAATTTTGAAGGTGAATTTTGGATGGAATGACCCGTTTTTTCAATGATTCGATTTAGCCATGTCCATCTGTTCGACTCTCTGTATAAACGCGAATTAGTCCCTCAGTTTTTGAGATATCCATTTTTCACACGTTTTTCGCTATTGATTTGTCGGAATCGCCAAATTGATCGATGAAAATCAAGTTCTTGTGTGGAAAACTTTTTATTTATTTTTTTACAAGATATATTCAACAGTTTCTGCAGAACTATAGCATATATTTTCCAGATCGAACTAAAGCATGTAGCTGTTATACAAACTGCAAGACCAAAATCAAGTTCTTGTATGTAAAAAGGGTATTATAGCTTGGGTTAGTTAGGTGTTAACGTATTTTCTTGTTTTCTACGCAACAAATCAAATACACTGAATACATGAGTGTTACGATTTCGTACGTCAAGTCTACGGTGGCTGTTTACTGAATGTGCCAAAGATGACAGTTTTTTTAAGTAAGGTTATGTCAGTTGAGAACTACAACTACAAAACTTGAAACCGATAATTAAAAATACAATATTAGTGACAGAGTTTTCTGAGTGAGCAATATAATATTTAAGTAACTATCTGAGTCAAAGTATCGACATAAAAAAGCATTTAAGCAGGGTTGACTTTAATAAAATCAAGATTTCCTTAGATGAATTCGCAGCTATCTGGATGCGAAGACGAAAACTGTGTGAAAGAAAACAAATTTATCATAAAAAGATTGAAGTAGAGGTGGTTAGGAAAAGATTATTCCATTGGGAAATAAACAATCAATTGGGCTGGGGAAAACCTTTTAGAAATAGGTCAAATTCTCTCAAATATTTAAAAAAATATATATAGATAAAATTTCTAATGCCATATTTATATTTGAGTGGAATTCTCTCACAACCACCCAAATAATGTTTGATTGTGTATTAGGGTGAGCCAAAAAAAAAACTAGTACCGACTTTATGTTGACGCAATAGCTCTAAAACTAAAAAACCCTTAAAAATGTTTAAGAAATTTTATGCACTACAAGAATCTTCGATGAAAAAGTTTTATCCTAAACGGTTGCTATAAAAAGTGCTCACCAACATCTTTTAAAATCAAATTTAAAGTCCTATCTTGCAGGGATATTTATTTCTCGGTATAAATGTTAAATCATAGTTTTCATGCTTTTTTTGTTTGCGCACCCTAAAATCTGCGGATTTTGCATTTCTCGCAATTTTTTAAACATCAAAATGCATATTACGTGTTGCAGATGCAACCACAGTCGTGAGTCGCATGGCTGCAGGACATGCAGAAGTCCTTTACAATCTGCTAATATACGAACGGTTTTGCTGCCAGTCATGAGAATATTGTGGAAAAGAGTATTTTTTGCGAGTACCATTGTATGCTTAATTGTGTCTACTGGCAGCGATCGCTGTCGACAGTCATTAAATATTTCTGGGTGTGTTTGCGTGTGTGTGTGCGAGTTGTGTTTATTTGTTTCCTTCTCGAAAAAGAAGCATAAATTTTGGGCAGAAAATGCATAAATCCGAAAAATGCATGAGCTAGTGCAGAGCACGCTATTTCAAGTACAACTGTGTGTGTGTGCGCAGAAAGATGAAATTGCAAATATAGCTGTTTATATGTAAATTTGCGCTTGTGTGAGTGCGGATAATGGCGGCAGCAGATAAAATTCGAATGAGCTGCAGCGGTCAATGGATTGCACGAGCGCACGAAGCGCGAAAAGTTTCGCAATTAAAATCGCGTTAAGCGTTGCACAAGCGAAATATATTTATATAAACACACACACAATCATATACACCAAAACATCTAAAGGCAAGTAATAATAAAACACTGAAATGAAAATAAAAAGAAAACAAGTGCAAAAAATATTAATATGGGCAAATCTGCAAGCGACACCACAAAAAAAAAAACAGAAGTAAGAATAGCAACAACAACAGATTGCTACCACAGTTACGATAATTCAGCACTTTACGCGCCACTTTCCGTTCAGCGCCGCCAAAAGCTGAGTTGTGTTGACACAATGAAATTTATGAAACTTCGGCAGCGAGCAAAATGCGCCAACGAAGCGTGGCAGGTCTGTGTGGTAGCGCAGAGTGTTCGTGCTGGGTGTTGCATTCATCAGCAAGGCGTCGGAGCGCGCAAGCGAGCGAGTTACACCGCATATTACGCTGTGTTAATAATTACTAACCGAGATAATACTAAAGAACAAGAAGAAGCAGAAATGAAGGCGCCGAAAACGGTAAACTTAATGCCGAAATGGAATTGATAAAACAACAACAAAAGCACACGACACTTCTACAACAACAGTTGGGTGGCATTGTATGTGCCGCCGGTTGTCAGTGATGTGGCATGACAGTGTCGTCTCTTGCAACATTGTCAATATTACGTCAAAGTAAGCAGATAACTCATTAAACGACCGACAGTCGCCGTGCCAAATTGAAGGTTGTG